AGCAGTATTAAAAATAGATATTAAAATTAAAATAGATCTTTATTTTTAACAATTTTTTTATATTATAAATTATTATTACCGCTAGAATTTTTTTGACTTTCTCACTTTTTCTTCAAGCGAAGGTAAGCTTTTATGGGTAAGATTAATTTCTAGAACGGTACTAACCGTCCTTTTCTTTCTTTTTTTTAGGAATCGGCTTGAACTTTTTCTTAACACGAACTTAGGGTAAGTTTTTCATAGGTGGGTGTGTTAGTTCTTTCTTTTAGAATGATACTGACCATTTTTTCTTTCTTCTTTTTTTTAGGAATCGGCTTGGACTTTTTTTTAAAACGGATTTGTGGTAAGTTTTTTATGGGTGTGTTAATTCTTTCTTTTAGAACGGTACTAACCATTTTTTCTTCTTTTTTTTAGGAATCGGCTTGGACTTTTTCTCGAAATGGACTTGTGGTAAGTTTTTTATGGGTGTGTTAATTCTTTCTTTTAGAACGGTACTAACCGTTTTTTCTTCTTTTTTTTAGGAATCAGCTTGAACTTTTTCTCGAAACGGACTTGTGGTAAGTTTTTATGGGTGGGTTGTTAATTCTTTCTTTTAAAACGGTACTAACCGTTTTTTCTTTCTTCTCTTTTTTAGGAATCGGCTTGGACTTTTTCTCAAAACGGACTTGTGGTAAGTTTTTTATGGGTGTGTTGTTAATTCTTTCTTTTGGAACGGTACTAACCATTTTTTCTTCTTTTTTTTAGAAATCAGCTTGGACTTTTCTCGAAATAGACTTATGGTAAATTTTTTATGAGTGTGTTAATTCTTTCTTTTGGAACAGTACTATCTTTCTTCTTTTTTTTAGGAATCGGCTTGGACTTTCTCTCGAAATGGACTCGTGGTAAGTTATTTATGGGTGGGTTGTTAATTCTTTCTTTTGAAACAGTACTATCTTTCTTCTTTTTTTTAGGAATCGGCTTGGACTTTCTCTTAAAACGGACTTGTGATAAGTTTTTTATGAGTGGGTTGTTAATTCTTTTTTTGGAACAGTACTATCTTTCTTCTTTTTTTTTAGAAATCGGCTTGGACTTTCTCTCAAAACGGACTCGTAAGTTTTTTATGAGTGGGTTGTTAATTCTTTCTTTTAAAATGGTACTATCTTTCTTCTTTTTTTTAGGAATCGGCTTGGACTTTTTTTCAAAATGGACTTGTGGTAAGTTTTTTATGAGTGTGTTAATTCTTTCTTTAGAACAGCACTAACCATTCTTTTCTTTCATCTTTTTTAAGGAATCCGCTTGGACTTTCTTAAGCAAAATTGTAAGTTTTTTATTATAGGCGAGTTAATTTCTTTCTTTCAGTAACTAACCATTCTTTTTTCTTTTTTTTTTAGGAATCGATCAACTTTTTTTTTAAGTGGATTTTATGGATTTAATCAGATAGAACGAACCTTATAAGGAATAGTGTTCTTTTTTATTGGTTGAAGAATTTTTACACAAACATTTTTATGAAATCTATTTAAATAACAATGACATAATATAAAATCAGAAAAAAAATTTTTTTCAATCATTTTTTTATTAAAAAAAAATAAAATTATTTATCTATTTGGTTTTTGAACAGTTGGTAATGGACAATAATCATTTTGCTTTTGAGGATCTCTGATGTGTTGAAATACCTGCTCATATAAATACCATTGCCTTTCAGCTGATAATCCTGCAGGAAAAATTTCTTGTGGAAATCCTCTAATTTCTTTTTTTTTATAATATCTACAATTTGCTCATCCCCATCAATTGTTTTTTTTACTTTTACTTTACCTACATTATTACTATAAAAAATAAAATGATGGTATTTTAAAATATTAGGAATTGTTTTAAAATAATTTGATAAAAATTCTGTCCAATTATAAAAATGTACTATACGGTTTCCATCTTTATCAAAAATTGTCTGTGCTTGATTATAACCTCCTAATGTTGAACTGTTTACTACATCTACTAAATCATCAAGATTATCAACTTCTGATTTTCATAATTTTAATTTAAAAAGACCAAAAAACCCATCAGGGCTAAATTTTGTGTGTCCAAATACCATAAATGAATATGTAATTTTAGTATACAACCCACATGCAACTCGCCATGCTAAATACATAATCATAGCATTGTTTTTATTCTGCCTAGCATAATTATCCACATGAATTATTATATTAGTTTCACCCATTCCATAGAGAGTAAAATAATTATGAACAAAGGATATAACCGCATTTGCATCTTTTCCAATACTTTCTTCTTCTTTAATTAAATAGTTTCTCTAGAATAAAAAAGCATCAATGAATAAAATATAAATAATATTAAAAATTATAAAAATTATAGTTAATTATAAGTACTTACTTGAATTGGAAGCGCATCCTCACAAATTCCAAAAACTTGAATATTATAAAGAGATTTGAAATATGTACTTCCCTTTATAAAAAAAAATCATTTTAATATATTAAAAAATACTGTATATATATATCATAAATTAATTAAAAAATCATACTTCTTGTTGTGAAGAAAATGGAAGTTTTACTTGTTCCGCATAATCCCATGATATATGATTTTCAAAATTGAGAGAATTTGGATCATTAGGACGAAAAAAATTGGGAAAATTAGAATTTTGTTTTAAAAATAATTTTGATATTTGTATACAATTTCTAAATATTAATATTATTAAAGATTTTATTAATATACAATATTTTACAGATTTTTCTTTATAAAAATATAAATAAATACCTATAATATTCTTTTTCTTTTTGTGTCCACTGAAAATGATTATTCCATTCATATACATAATCTACACTTTCTTGATCTGTCCAATATTGTGAATTAAATCGCATTTCCTTACATTTAAAACACAAATCACTACAAGGGGAAAGAAATTTAATTTCTAGAATATATTTATTCCAAATACGCCAAAAAGTAGTCAAATGTAATGTTTTTTGAATTTCTAAAGCCGATATATATAATCGATATAAAGAGGAATAACTTTCACTTGCTGAAAGGAAAATTATTGGTAAAGTATCTTTTCGAAAATGTCATCTTTTATTAAAAGTTATTAATTTATATTAGTTTATTAATAAAAAAATATATAATTAGATTATTATAATTACCAGGAGAAGGTAAACCATGGATATTTGCATAATTTACTATGAAAGTAAGTATATCTAAGATTTTTTCAAATGACATAGCAGAATTACTAACTCTTCCAGTTAATTTATGTATTCTTGGACTAATTCCTTTTTCTACAAAATAAGCTTGAATATTAATCCAATATTTTTCACTAATTCCATATATCAACAAAAATGATTTACTACAAATTTTTATTCCTTCAAATATATACTCGTTAGCAAGTCACTGACGTTTTTGACCTTCAGTAGTTATATTACTTTGAGTAGTTATTGATAATATTCCTAATAAAAACATACCCTTTTGTATATTGCTTAGATTCTGAAAATTTTGGTAATACTCCACAGCATGTTCATGAAAAACTAATTTTTGGTTACAGTATTCT